CCCTTGGCCTACGCATTTAGTTGCAAATGAGGCGGGTGGCCTCAAGTTGAACTCAGCCTGAGTCTAAGCTGCTGATATATTCCGCATGTACACCAAACGGATGGAACTCGATGGCAAGTGCCCAGAAGTACAATGAACATCGCCTATCAAAGTGCGACACACATATTTATACGCACACCATTTCTCTGCCATTCAAACAATAGGCTCCAAAAAGCAAACTGAAGATTGTTACTGGAAAAGTTCGCTCATTCTACATCTTCGCGAAAGCATTGCTTATCTATATTGAAAGAGTTCTGATTGATTTGGAGCCCTCCAAACGCAATAATTTTAGGGATCGCATGCTATGTCAAAGATCAAGCTCAAGTTCATCGTGCAGCGATCTGTTGGCACATATACATCAGAAAAACACCTGCCTTGTTGAGAGTGAAAAACTCTTGAACCGTTCGCGGATTGCAACACAATCTCGCAGCAAAACGCGCACCAGCCCGTGACGCGCGCCATTGAACCACTCCGGACAGAGCGCCAACGGAGCGCAAACGTGCCAGTGGCACAGGACCAGCCCATCTGTATTGATTGGCAGTCTGCCTGCGCAATTCGACGGGCGCAGTCACAGCCCTGGCTTCGCCCTCGATTTTAGGGGGGCTGAAAGAGCCCGGACTTGAAATCACTCGAACTCTGCCAGGGACGGGGCCCCATTCGCCGCGCGGCATTGCTGAACATGCCGGGCCGAACGCAGAATCTACAGCTGAATCCTTGCGTTCTGAGACCTTCAGGCTGAATTTGGGGGACAAATGTGGCCAAGACTTCATTCATTGCGAAGAGGCGAAGAACCAAGCTGGGAAGACAAGTACCAGCCAGCAAGCCATCTGTGCCTGTGTCTCCCTTTTCCTATTGTTTTGCAGTTTCTTATCGGCATTTTGCACTCGGCATTTTGCACATGGCGCCCCTCAGCCAACGCTGAGGACATTCGAATGAGTCAGCCGCACAGGAATCTGATTGGATTTGTACAACCCTGGCTCTTTGTGAGTGGTTGAGGGAAAGGGGACTACCCTTTTGTCACATTTCCGATGCCCAGGCTTGGCATGTGCTTTGCAACGCTCTGCTTTTCCTTTTGGCTGCTGGGCACGCCAAACGGCGCGTTGGATGCTGCCCCACACCCGGCGACAGTGGCTTGCACGGAGAAATCCAGCATGAGACCAAAAGAAACGCACGGGTGCCTTGGAAAAATCGCACCCTCAGCGATCGAGAGTCCGCAGCATGGGAAGCATGAAGCGACCCGCCAGAGAGAAAGTGAGCCCGGAACCTGAAAAACGCCCTCGCGACCGATGGGAATAGGCAACCAGTGCTGCCGATCTTGTGAGTCCTCGGCTTCAAGCTGTGGAGCAAAGACAGCGAGTCATTCCGAACCAAGCAATCCCCATCGCTTGCGTTTCTGGCTTTCCCGCTCTTTGAGGGATTAAGAAGCCCCCAACCCCAGCCCAGCGTCCTCCCTGAACATCCGGAGAGGCAGGATCCCCTCCAACAGTCGCATGGACCTCTCGCCCTCGCCGCTGCGAAGCTGTCGAAGACTGCCTCTCCCGAAATGCGAACTACACCTAGGGAGTCCACAGTTTGTGATCTTCTCATGCTTGGCCTGCTCCTCTTGCACTCTCCTGAACTGAAACCAATTCACTCCGCTTGTTCCATGTTTCCCTTGTCCCTGTCAACCTCTTTCAACCTGCGAGGCTTTCGCCGATGGCACTGGCCTTAAGATAGCGCAAAGATATCTCGGATGAGCCCCTAAGAAGACCCGGTTGCCTTTGAGCCCGCCCGGGCCTCGCTCTCGAGAATCAACGACTTCGCGCGGAGAGCGGCGCCAATACACGTGGCGATGCCACACCCTCCATGCCTCCCAAAGAAGCAATAAGCACGGCTGGTGACAGAAAAAAAGCGAATGTGCAACTCAAAAACATCTCACAAGGTGCACTCCCATCCTCACCCCAACAATATTCTGCTCACAGCGTCTGCAGCAGCTGAAGGAGCCACCAAGCACGTCCATCAGGTGGGTGGCAGTCTAAGACCCGTGCTCCTCGCATGAGTCGCATCCCCTCTCCCGAAGCGTCAAGAGCCAAGGCGCAAGTGGTGCACAGGGGCAGATAAAGCATGAGAAAAGCATGGCAATCCACAAAAAAGTCCTCAAAGCCAAAGTGCTCGCACTGTTTGCCACACAGTGATCCCTTGCCATCGCACGCTGCCCCACATTCCAACAGTCTCATAGCTGATCCAAAAAGGCACCAAGGGCGCATGCGTCTCCATGTTGAGCTCCATGCCTGTGTCCTACGAGGGGCCACAAAGCCAAGCGCATGGAAGGAGCTTGCCTAGACACCTGTTGAAGCTGCCAAGGCTCAGATGTTGCCTTTCCCTGGCTTGCTCGCTTGCTTGCTTCTTTGCTGCAACATGAAACTGAAAAAAAAGAAAAAAACACGATTGACACCATTGTAAAACCGCCCTGGACCTCTTTTGGCTCGCTCTACAGCTTTGTTTGCGAATGCAATGGATAGGCATTGCCACCGCCGATGCCTCCAAAAATGCCGTGAATTCAAGTGCAGCTTGCCGGCTCCCTGGGGATCACTTCAGCCAAGCAAAGTCAACGCAGAACGTTTACAGGGATTCTCGGGCGGCTAATTCTGCTCGCCTGTTCCCCGCGCCAAGCCTGGTGAGACTCGTCCATCTGCCCTGCCTTTCTGTCACTTGCGCCCTGGCGATTCGTGAACGTCTTATAGGCTTTGCCTTTGCCTTTGCCTTTGGCTTTGCCTTTGGCTTTGCCCTTCGCAACCTCAACCTGATCTTCTTGCGCCCTTTCCTGGTTCTTCATCCTGTGCCTGCGAGACTCATTCTGCTCTTGCCAAGCAAGGATAGCCATTCTCTGGATGTCTATTTTGGAGCACACCAAGGCTGCACCCTCCCGAAACAACTCTCTCAAGTCTCCAGCTGCAGCATGGCATCCAGCATCTGAATGCCTTCCGCTCTTCTTCCACTGACGCCACTTCTGACTCAGCAACGCCTTAAAGTCCTCAGCAACTTCCGCAATACTCTTGGCCAAGATGTGGGTCGATTCCTCAAACGCCTGCAGCAATGCCGGGGGCGTTTCCTCCGGCGGCTCGCTTCTGCACAAAAAGAGTTGCAAAGACTCTACGCTGAAGAGATCTTTAACAGCTGACTTCATGAGCTTGTGCACCCTCTTCAAAGAAGACTGATCATCGCCATTTGCAGAGGCCAGGCTGCTTTCCAAGGGCAAGCACTCCACATATGGAACCACAACATCTGAAGTCATGCGCCCAAAATGATTATTCACATAGGTGCCAAAAGCCTGGCCAGTTTTGAGGATGGGCCGCAGGTCCGACTGAAAATGGCTTTCCAAGAAGGTGCCCACATCCATCACCGGCCCGTGCTCCCACGTCTCTGTGTCAAGATCTGTGGGTTCCGTGCGCACTTCTGATATGCCTGCTTCCTTCTCCCCCAAGCCAGCGGCTAGAGAGAACCTTTTGTAAGCAATAGGCCCCAAGCTGACACCATCTTGGCTTGATCTTGCTACGCAGGCATTCGAATGTCCCCAGGACTTCTCTCCACAGCGAGGGACAGAGCCAGTTGAATGTGTGAGCCTAGCAGACTTGGAGCCAACAGCGATGCTGTACCTCAGTCAGAAGCAGCACCTATCCAAATTCGAGGGCCAACCCATGTTCTCGAAAATGCTGTATTTTGGTGTTTCTCGTTTTCGGTTCAAAGTGTTGCACCTCTCGATGTTCTTCCAAGGCCAAAAGATTGCAAGGGCCTAATCCTCATGCCACTTCCAAGCTTGTCACTCTAGAGTCCAGCTTATCCCAGACAAAACGACCGCATTGACAGTTTGCGTGTCTAAAACAAAAGCAGGACAACAAAAGCATGCTTTGTCAATCAGCGTGCTCAGAGGCGGCCTCAACGATATCCAATGAGCTGGATTGAACCCAAGCCTCAAAGCCAGGCCAAAAGCTCAGGGGGTCTAGGCTGGTGAATGCCATCTTGGCATCCACTGCAGAAAAGACCCTCAAAGGATGGGCGGTAGAGGATGATTCGTTCACATAGGCGCAAGATCTCCTGCTACCACTGCCTTCTGCCAAGGCCTCGAGGACAACTGCCAAATGCTCGGGGCTTACAACTACGTCACTTTTCCCCAGCTCAACTCCCTCAAATGCATCTTCCACTTCATCCGCCACGGCCGGAGTCACAAAAATATGGGCACCACCCGCCCAAGTAGGCCGACAGGTATAGTTCTTGAAGTTCATGCCTCTGCAAATATTGAAGAGGCGCAATTGGGGAGGGCTCAACCTTTGCTCAAGGGCCTGCACGAACTCTGCAGAGGCATTTTCTGGCGCTCGGCCTTCTTGAATCTTCCGAATGTGCTCACTGTAAATCTCCTGCTGGAGCTCTTGGCCAAGCTTTTGGCACAAGGCATCATAGTTTCCGCGGATCCGCAACTTGTACACCTTGCAGCCGTCCATGCCGGACTCTGGAGCCTCCGTTGACTTCTATGGTGCTATGCTGTCATGAGTTTGCTGCTGTCGGCATAGAGACTATCTCAACAAATGGCTTGGCCAAATGAACTTGGATGGTGGACGTCACTGTCTCGCAGCATTGAGCCTGACTTGTCACATGCTCAATGAAAACAAGTGCAATATCAAGTGCGTTGATGTTGGCGAACAAAGAAAAACATTTTTGCACATGAAGTGTGGCTTTTGCCCTCAATCACGCATCCGGTTGGTTGGTTCACTGGCAGAATCCCCGATGACCGCGGTCCTCGTGGCGGCAGGAAGGTGTTGCGCTGGGGAATGGAGAGGTGTAGTCCACCAACACCCAGCCACATAGGATCCCGAGCCTTCACTTCCAGCACGTCATGCCTTCCTGCGAGAAAAACGCCACTCGCTTTGTGTTGTGCTCGCCGCTGTGATTTGCAATCCTCTTGTCTGGCTACCCTCAAAGAACGG